GATCCAAGTAATTAACCGATCTCTAAAGATAGAAAAAACAAGAGAGTAGTACAAGACAAAGAATAGTAATATTCTAGGCAAAATAAGAGAAAACATGCTGATCAAAAATATTGTCTTAACACTCTATAAAGTTAAAGCCCATTCTGAAATCACATTTAATGAAAGAGCTAACAACTTAGCAAAGCAGGCTTTAAAACTTCGCACTCCCACACATATCTTAACTAGCAATATGAAAGGCCTTCTATTCTCACCAACATGAAATGCACACTATATAGAAGTCCCTATAAGATCCTTTATCAAAAACTTTCTAAGCATCTACTACAAAGTAGAGTGACTTTCTACAAACATCAAAGTGACGAAACTCACAGTAAAAGAAACAAAACCAAAGACTAGAAAACCTTCAAATCTTTCTGGCAAAAAACATGAAGTTCTAGAGGAAGCAGTCTCAAATCAAATAAATAGTGGGTCTTCAGAATCAAATCTGCAGATGCTTTACTTCCAATACTCATTAAAAGGAAATGAGACCAAGGAACTTTATATAACACTACAATCTGCCAGAAATGCAAATCAGAAGAAGAAACCTTCGAACACCTAACAAATTGTCCTTCCAATAAAAATATATAGGATATGAGAGAACTAGATATACTACAAGAAATTTGGTCAGATCTTAGTGAGAAAAGCCAAAAGCTAATAAGCCTACAAACACTAAGGAAAACTATTCTAGACCTAAAAATTTCAAACTCACAAAGAAGAAACTTCTTAGCCCGAGGAATTATAAATATAAGGTGTAGAAACAACCTTCTCTTATCAGGCCTAAGAAGAAAACAATAAACAATATTCTACTAACCTGGCTAGATAAATGGATAATCATTTTTCAAGACCATATATGGAGACCCAGATGCGAAGTAACTATAGAATGGGAAAAATTGAACAACATAGACCTGAAACAAAAAAGAGAAAAGAAAGAAAGAAGGAGAGGGGAAAAAAGAAAGAAGAAGCTAAAGGAAACATCAACCAAGTTACCCGAGGCCCTCTGCTTTACAGAAAATATAAAAAGAAAAGGGTCTCTGAACTTTAAAGAAGAAGAATGCCTGAAGTTTACAATTAAAGAAATTAAAAGATAGATAGAAGTAGGGGTTAGTAGTTGGTGGGACTTAATCTAAAAGCGATCATGATCAGCTGCAGAACCAAGGTAGTGATTCTCCTTATTGGGAAATCTCAACATGAAAATGAGTCAAATTCTGCTTTGGCAGATCATACAAAGGCACCTAAAGCAACCAGATAAGCTATACTTTAATTATAAAGTACAAAGTACTGAAAATAGTAATAGTATTTGATAATATAACTATTTTATAAATAAAAGTGTAGCATAATCGCCAAAAAATAAAAATAAAAAAAAATAATTAAGATAAAAAAAAAACACCATGTTTGCCTTAAAAATTTTTTTACAAAAAATCATCAACAATAACCTAATAATTCTGATATATATATAATCTGTCAAGACAGCATTTCATCAAACATAATTAATTCTATCACTATACTTAACTACTGTCATATTTTTTACTATGATTGCATTTTTGGTTATCATATGCAAAATTATCGCCCTAATATTTGTTCTATTTGCTATAATGAAAATGTACAAAATACAATATCAAATATTTCAGCAAGTAGCTCTACCAAAGCACAAAATATAGAATGTAATAAAAATAGACACAACATATTATCTTCGCAATATAAAGGAAATGGACATTATAAAGTAAATGAATGTTACGAAAAAAATAGTAATTCTGAAGGCAAAAATAAAGTTAAAGGTGAAAATGAAGTTAAAAATAAAGATGGGAGTAAGAATAGAAATGGACATGAGGACGAAAATGATGAGCTAAATATAAGAGTAATAGTGAAACAACTGCAAACACTCAGATTGATCAAAAAGTCCAAGAATTTATAAATGAAATTTTAAATCTAGACATTGACAAAGTGGAAACAGATAAAGTAAATGAGCTGGAAATAGAGGAAGAAATGAGTAAAAATGGGCAGACAATAAGCCTACAAATGTTGTTGCACTTGTATGATCGTGCATGTAAAGCAGAAATAAAAAAATTAAGAATCAAAAGAGAAATAATCAAGTGGTAGTACAAGTATGGTAAAAACTTCAAACATAAACTTACAGAAATAATATCTAGCAATAGAATTTCTAAAAAAAAGACAACAACTAGACTTTATGATGAATTGGAAAGACTTCGATTAGGTGTTATTCAGGATAATTTAAGAAAATGAACAGAAAAATCTACAAAAGTATATTTTTTATTTTTACAAATTGGAGTAGAAAAAATTCAACATATTAGCAAATTTAGCGCGGATAAGATATCTAAATTTACTTGGGGTCAAATACAATTTA